GATGATCAGACATTTGAATAAAAATCAATATAGGATAATGTACATTCAGAAATAATAATATGAGTGCCGTCAATAAAATACAATCAGATGGGAAATAAGACGAGTGTTTTTATAGTCAAAATAAGTAACTTGTTAGAGTGTTGTGATGTGCTTGAATTGAAATAGAATACATTTTAAGATTATTTATTATCCTCCTCTGATTTGACTGACTGGTGGTAATTGTCTGACCCTCAACTCTCCCAGTCTTGCATTTCATCAGGTAGGTAGGAGGACTAGAAATTATTATAAAAGATTATATATATTCGTACAACCAGCTAAGAAAACTCAGCAATACCCTATTTTACTTGCATCCTATATATGCTAGAGATGGTGTTGTCCGTGAAATCTACAACTTACTATGTAATTAGCACAACAACAAAAGATGGCTCTTTCATCTTCTCCTATTTGTAATTTATGGCGAGACTATTTCAACTATATGTTATAATTTTAGTTATTAAAATTATTATTATCATTTTTAATTTTCGTACATTTTGACTTTATTGTTACTGATAATGGGAAAAAGTTTCCATTATCAATTTTGGTGTTCTTAGCCTCTCAATGACTTTAACCAGGTAGTCTACACATCCTTCCATGGTTCAAACCAACAGTCAAATACTTCATGGATCGATACCACGTCTTGATCTGACCACTCGTTACACCTTCTCAGTTTAAGTCTATATCAGTTAGCATTTCTCAACATGAAAGGAGGCGATACATAGTCATGCGCAATAATAGTACGTGATATCCTAATGGATGCAGCTTCATTACGTTAATCAATTGATATGCCTTCTTTACTTAACAGTCATCATGTAGTATGTGGGGGATAGAAAGCAAACGTATGTGGGCAAAGACAGCTAGCCTCTTCAAGTCATTCACTTTCAACGGCCATATCTCACAACCATGAAGAAATACAAAGTAACGGCTGAGCGGTACTCATATCATTTGAAGACTGACAGTCGGACGTATCGTCTACGCCGGAGATACAGTATAAGTTGTCAAATGCTACACGAGTCTGTCGTGTTAAAGACCAGAAAATTCGTACAATGGAAAATTACCGGGGAACCAACTGATTATATGGTTAAAACAATTAGCCCCTTTGGGTAAATTTGAATAAGGCAGTTAGAAGACAAATTTCGCGAGATGATATCGTCATTTCCTAGTTTCTTTACAACTATCCGGTTTACAACTAACATGGTTAACATTAATAAAATAAAATAAAGTTCATGACTCGGTTATATAAAAAACAAAAGTACATACTAATGACCAATCATATTTAAATAGGTCATAGTAGGCGAACGTTGAAGTCTATTGTTGTTTTTTGTACACACAGTTTAGGCTGTATGTGATTAATCTCCAAAGTGCTTCCATCACCTTCAGTAAGCGACCTTAAATTAGAGTTATGTAATGAAATAATTGTGAAACGGTCATCAATATTGATTTTGTGACCTGACATTAATAAGTGTTTTGCAATGGATGGTGCTGGATTTCTATTCAGATTAATTCTATTTGGATATTCTATATGTTTTAGCAACCATCTGGGAACATGTTCTTTTCGACGACCATATTGGAGCATTCTGTTGGTTCTACCTATATAGTATGTCACCGCAGCTGCAGGTGAATTTGTAGATACAGTTTGAAGGAGAATGCATAGAATTTCGTCCTTTAATCGTAGGTACAGGGATCGAAAATGTTCGGCATGTGAGAAAAAGAGATGCGGCGTAGAATGTGAGTTTGATGGCTGACCTAAGTCTTTGAGCTAGTTGTCGACTGCATAATCTGGTCACCCTTGAATGGTAGGTTGTTAATGAAGATAACTTTCTTTGATACAGAAGCTGTCTTTTCTAGATAAGGTGAAGATATGATCAATACACCCTCCTCCTGGTCTAAAGCCTGCCTGGTTCTCTCGTGTTTGTGTCTCCCGAACACCGTTTAGTCTACGCATGATTATTGAACCTAGGACTTTAGATACCATATTGGTGAGGTGAGTCCCCTTGTGATTATCACGTGAAGACTTGTCTCCTTTATTGTATATTAGGATAATCAGTGACTTACACCAACCCGACAGGACTTCCTCTGATTCCCAGACGCTGCATAGTACCTCAGTTAACGCAGAGTAAACTGTCTCCGCCGTACTTAAATACTTCTGGAGTCATTCCATCAGGTCCTGCTGCTTTGCCTTGTTTCAGACTAGTGACAGCCTCAGTAACCTCAGTTAGGGACGGAGGACCTGTGTTTAATCCCATTCAGGGAGGTGTTGGATGTTCGGCAGGTTGAACGTGGCTGTAGGCCAATTGAATTGCTCCTCAAAGTGTTCTTTCCAGCGTTCCAGTCGTCTATCCTGGGAGCTAATTATGATGCCATTTTTCTCAGAGATTGTTCGAAAAATACACCAGCATAAAATTTAGCGAAACAGGTGCTTAATAAACCTGTGTCTGGAGTTTAATGAATACATTTAGTTCCACTAACTTTTACGTCAAATTGGGTAAATTAACAATATAAGCAGGTTTGAACTGGTAAAAATCGACGGCCTTAGCTAGATGATAACAAATCCACTCAAAAAGTCGGTCGGTTTTCGACATAGAACTTTGCACATATGTGCGGCAGTTCAAGTCGCCACACTCCCTCCTTGTAGCACACAAAGCAAGAGAAGAAAGTAGGAGAAATGCATAATATAGACAGTAAACAGAGGTGTGAGACAAAGGAATACTCAAAAAGTATACTAAACGCGAATGATTACGTAATATGTTTGAGTACCTTTGTGAGAAGTGACTGTCAACTTTCCCACGTCATCCATCCGAAAAAGAACTTATACGATAAAGGTGACATTATTTGTAATATGCTCGCAAAAACTTGAGCTAAAACGCATTTGTCCATGTTGTAGGCAACGTATTTGAAAATGGAGATGTGGTTTATTAGCTTAAGTATTCGAATTTAAGCCAAAGGGACTGAGCTGCGAGCACCGCCTAGCCTACTACTTCATCCTAGGTAATTGAGTAGTATAATCACCCCCAATTCGCCCCCAACACACAAACACACACAGTAATTGTTTGGCTCGTAGTCTGACAGGTGAAAGATCGTTTCCAAGTTACTGAGTTTAAAAATATACTAAATTCAACATATGAAAACGGTCTGTCTTGTTTATGTACACTCCATATTCAACAGAAAATTTAGAATTTTAATTTAATCTTCGCAACTCGTCTACTGAATGGCATAATACTGAATCAATACGAATTACTGTAGCTTCTATCATTAACCAAAAGAAACAGACTTGGAGAATCACGAGTATACACATGCATATATAGATTTTTTTTACAAAACAAATTTATGTGGTGAGTGTTTAACCTAATGTAATGAGCGATTGGAAAAGTAATTTACGCACACATAAAGTCCACGTGATCAAATCGAAATCCTTCAGATTCTTTAAACATGCCAATATTTTACAAAAGAATTTAAATCAGTAAATAATCTAGGTACATAATCACATAAAACAGCCTAATTGTTCGTTAGAAAACAGTAAAATCTGTTCATATCAAAATTGTTGCGTAAACTAAATCGTACCTGACAAAAACGTCCCAATGCAGTATACCATCAGTGACTCCTGAAAAAGTCAGGTATGACGAATATGTATGGATATTTACATAGTATTCCACGTGAGTCCCAGCACAATGAACGCTCGATGTACATCCAACCTGACAAATTTACACTAATTCAATTAACTGGACCAATATAAGTTCTGCATTCCCACTCAAGCTCTGGTAGTTCACCCATCCGTACAAGTAAAACTTCCCTAACAGAAATTAACAATTACATAATGCCTCTTCAGTAGGCGAAAAGCAAGTAATTACTGTGTGATTCACATCCCTGTGATCAACTCAACTAGCAAAATAATAGGTTTAACATTGATTTTATTTATCTACCCCATGTACACTTTTCCTTAACTTCTGAAGACGTGCTTCTGATGTCCTGTCCACGTTGTTTCTAGGGCCGTACTTGTAAAGAAACTACAAACCAAAACTTAAAGGACAAAGCGACTATAACTCAAGGTGTAGAATGCTTCTCAATAACCATTGGAGGTTAATGGATGTCACAGCAAACCAAATTCACGAGATGAGAGCTGACAATACTATCTGGTTGTTCGAATATCAGTAAGCCGAGGCATAATCAGACTCGCAACCTACCGCTGAAAAACAATTGAATATCTCATTCAGTGTGCTGCCATATCGAATTACTGAGAATTATATTTAGATATTTACCGTAAATATCATCATTTAGAAACCTCACATCCAAAAGTCGAGTCGCACCCAGCACTTCCTCAAGTTTTAAAAACAAAAGTAGGAACTATTCATGAAACTAAAATCGACACTTGAACTGGTTGTAACTGATAATATTACTATTACTGCGTTGTAAATTACAGATTTTTCTCCACACTTCATCTAATATATAATAAAATTCGTTAACCTTTATAGATCCCAGATTATCACCAACCCATACAACGAGAAATCAGGGTAAATCTCAGGTTGTACAACATGTTTCCCAAAGAGTCACTGCTCATACTGTGCCCGAATTTTCAGAAGAAGCTACTATCACGCGAAATATCCAATAACCTTTCAACAAGTTTCGCATTCTTTTGTCCTTCCTTTCGCTTGCAAATAAAAAAAGATATATGAAATGCTTTCCAAATGATACAAACAATAACTTTGTTGCTTCCGAAAACTGTTGGAAATTTTTTGAGGTTACGGTGAGCTTGAAAATTATGACATATCTACGCTTTGAACACTACATCTAGGGTGATGCTTTTCCACCACGATTCCTAAGTCAAAAGCAATTGCGGCATATCAGACACGGGTTGCTTACAAGTAACACCTAATCACAAAACTTTTGGCATGTGCAATGAGCATGTGAACAAAGCCAAATACTTGTGATAATCAATTGTACTTATCCAGTCTGCTCAGCTTAACGGAGTAAAAAATGAGTGAACAGCAGAGAAATCTAAAACAAAAGCTCATTGAAACCATTGCATATAATCTTTCAAAGCATTTCTAAAACTAGAAGTAAATAAAAACAGCTGTATATAAAATTAAATCAAGTTAGTTCTTTATAAAAAGATTGGAAGATGAATGATTATGAGAAGCCCAAAATAATGTACGGAGGTCAGCTTAAACAACAACAACAAAAATAAATCAAAATGAAATAAACTGACTAGAATATAAAAGCATATGATGCTGACTTATGACATAATTCCAATAAAATCAAGAAACGCATTTAGTGTCAGCTGTAAGAATTTAGGCTGCCAAAATGTCAAGGCAGAATTAGGCGCATTGTTTGTGGTATGGACCAAACTGAAACCGATAGTAGGGAGAAAAGATGACAGCTGTATTACTAGACATTATCAGGCAGATGAAATGCTGGTTTAACAAAATACATCAGGGGGCTTTAAGTATCTTTTGTGGAACACTTCACAATATCGATTATCTCAGACTCATCTGAGTCGAGCCACGGTCTTTGCCATATAGTTACCTTGCACACTTTGCTCTGAAAGAAATTTAATATTAGAAACTAAATTACCTCTCCTCCAACAATTGCACATGAATCTCGATTAATAAGCGCAGTATCAACAGCTACTAAATCAGAAATATGAGATAACAGGATGAATATCCTTACAAAAGTCATTGGAAGTGGCAGTCTTGCATGATGTCGGGGAAAATTCAACAAATAATGTGTACTTGGTGCCCGCAACCACCTTAAATAAGCAATTTTAAATAAGATATATTTACCTGAGTAGTGGCATTGAGTACCTTGGATACGACATGGAGGTTTTGAAGTCCCTGTACGCGATTGAACTTTTGTGCCACTCTCTGCAATTCCTGACCTAAAGTTTTAAAAGTGTCTTCATCTGGTGGTATTTCTTTAGGGGCACCAAGCATATTCCCATAACCCGAGCATGTTAAAACAAGGTAGGATAACAACACAAACAAATGCATAATCTCTGTTAGTCAACTGACTTTGCGACCTTAATCTCCAAACGACCTTGAACTTTAGCTCCTAATATCCAATTTCCAATATCTATATGATGAACTTGTATAAACCTATGCGGCTGGACTTATCCGGCATGTTGGTTGAAATTTCGCTCGGCAAATTTTTTTTGTCAATAATTTTTAGTAAAATTTTGTTAGATGTTTTCTGGATTGATAGGAATTCTCATTTGCTGGCTAGTTATGTCTGTGTTCGCGTCATTTAATCTGACTGCGACACACTTAGCATATTGGTTGTAATGATTAGTGTTTCATGCTGAATGCGTCAAAACATCTCTACAATGAAGAAGATGGGGTAGTTGGGGGGTAATGTCATCTACACAAATAGTTTATTTCCTGTAGAAGCTGCAGCTTTCGACATAGTGTCATTCAATGAAGACTACGTCACAATGTGGCTATTTTCGTGTGAAGAACAGTACTATTTTACAAAAGAATGCTATCAGTACATGGGAATCACCTATAAATGCCAACGGAACGTAAAACCAATGTGTAAACGAACGGCTACGGAACTGCAATCCAACATAACCGACTAACATGGACGAAAATGACCTTTGAGCGTCTCACTCCATCAGTGACCTTGAGCATGCGGGATAATTTCAGCCACCTATGCTTTCTCATGGCTAGCCTCTCATTGTTTCAGGACGGTTCTATACATCTGTCAGATTTCAGCACAGTCTATCTCCTCAACTTCTGCAGTTTTGCTGAGCGCCAAAAGATGAGGTACGTAAGTTTAATGACATTGGAAAGTTTGTGCACTGTGTCATATATCAAACTGATCATAAATATATTTAAGTAGTTTTCACGCAACATTAATCATTTGTTTGGGTAATGTTTCGTGGGTAGTGAAGCCATGGGCGGTAATCTAGACGGAAATATTAAAAAATAAGAAACTTATCACCGTGTGTCAACTACTGAAATATAATTTTTGAAGGAAATATACGGTTTGATCTGTCGTGCGAATGCTTCACAAATCTGCATGAAGAGCTGAGATGTGAGTGAACCTAGCTACTTACTCACGAATTGTGGTTTTTGTGGCTCTGCCTTGACTTTCTGTGTGGCTAGAGCAGGTTTCCATCATTTATCAAACGTTGCTAAAGGACTCACTCTGTTTCTGTATGGGAGATATCGGTTCATTCTTTTACTGATGTGCACTGTCAAACGCTTGTTCATATTGAACCCATTTTCTGCAATCGTGTTCTCTGGGCTGACCAAGTCTTCTTGCAACCTGATGGATTCCTCCTCACGTCTGACTACCCTGAATGGCTTTATGCCTTCAGTGTGGGGATCCTAAGTTATTCGGAATATCATCTAGGTGAATCAGTAATAGCCATGGATGTAGAATAAGTCCAGTTGATGTTTCGGTGGTTGTTGTGGTAAAAGCGGAGCTCACTTTTCCTCACTCTCTTCATGGGCTTTAATCCGAGATAGCAACTGGTTATAAACCCACATTTTTGAGGGTTTTCAGAGTAGAAATCCCTGAGAAGCTGAGTCATGGACCTTCACAAAGTTTGTAAACAAGACCTGAACTGGAAAATTCTGGTTCTAGCCAGCCCTCTAGTTGTCCCAAGCTGCCAGTAAACTGGCACCATTGGATTCATTCTTCCTCAATCCCTGCTCTGCTTCGCGCACGAGGTTGCTGATGTTTAAATATTTTCGGATGTGGTCACCTGATGGGCTCTCCTAACGGTGGTATCGATGCTAGTGGAGCGGCCAGTCTGTGTCACCTGATGCTATAGCCGATCTCACACATAAAATTCGTCGGTAAAATAACCCACCTGCAGTCCCATGGCGAATTACTACAGCATTGAGGAACAGCCGATACCTTAACTAACCTCATCCAACTAACTGTGTGATACCACATTTCAAGCAATTCACAATGGAAGAATAAATAAAGTGTATGAATTGAAGATTGCAGTAAGACAAGGCTGACCAAATTATTTGTCTAGGAACGCTGCATGGCATAATTGCTTCCCTAGGAGAATTCATTATTACCATGCACTCCATTTGTTCTCGAGATCACTCCTGCTGATCTGTGATTCTAGATTTACATTTTCCATGAGTAGGTAGTCGCACTTGAGAAGTAGATCTAGCTGAGGTGGTTTGCTGTTGTCTTTCCAGTGTGTGTCATCCTTGATGGTCTCATACAGTTCAACAGTCATCATGCCGGTTTTGACTAGTTGTGGTGATGTTTCCTGTAGCCTGGTTATTAGGATAGGTGACCCTGGCTAAAAAGTCAGTTTGCGGTGTGGCGGAAGCGCGTATCCTATCGAATGCATGGCTATACGACAGCCATGAGCGTTATTCTTAGTTGAAGCCAGCCAGAAATGAGCTCTTAGTCATCGTAGAAGCGTCACTGACTGCTTTCTCATGGGTGAACTATACAATAGGACTCGGTTAAACAGGAGGATGGTATTGATCTGGTTTCATCAACTCAGTCCGCATACTCACATGAAAAGATACCTGAGCTTGGTCTGTATTAGAGGATTCCTGGGAAAAGTATCTCTTAAATTTTTTAGAAATTATTTTCCTGAAACATTCCCGCTATCTATGTGTTTCCCGAGATGCAAAATATCTCAGGATAGAGAGCATGAAATCACTTTGGATGTGTGCTCCAATTTAGTTTTACTGTACATTTAGAGAAAGTTATGGTCGTTCGAAATAACGAAATAGGCTTTATTTGAATTTTTCTTGTAAAAACTACCTTTCTGAAGCGACGAAACCGTGCAGAACTTCGAATAAATATGTTTGCACATTCCAAATGAGTACTCTATCCGAAATAATTGTCAAGTAAAATCAACTGTTTATAACCGATGTGATGTGACTTCAGTTAATGTGAAATTAGGACAGATCTGCCTAACCTTCTGTTTCATGAGTTCTTGTTTCATTACTTTCTTAAGTAAGACCGTTAGACGATGAAGTATCTGGTAATGTAATGGCAATTCAGTTCATATAGGAATATGTTATACCTAAATGACTGTATAACACCTAATCACTACTTCGGAGAAGAAAGCCGACCATTTTATGCGGCATTTGCATTATTTAATACATTTGCTGTCATATCACTTGTAAATTCCGAGTCTACAGTAGCCTAGAATTTCACTAGGAAAGATAAGTACTAGTGGGGGGACCATCTCAATAATGAGATTACACCTAAACTCTCGGAAATGAGTTATGTTGTCTAGAATAAATTATATCTACCCCACAATTACTTCACGCCCGTCAGTCTAATCTTTCTACTGGAGAATCCTGCAACTGCATTGTGGAGATTTTATATAAAATTAATGGATATTTCAGGAAGTATTTCTACATGTGTTAGCAAGTACACAATATAGCTGAACTGACACGGTCCTGCCAGGTCAATATACAGAATAACAAGGTTAAAAGACATAAAAATTAGATTAAGAAATTTAAGAATTTAGTGAAATTTACTTTGGATGCCACTGTTCCCATATCTTCTTTCAAAGTATTGTAGAGATAGAGGATTTTCGAAATTATCAGCCACAGCATTCACCATTCAACACTGGATGCTGACACCCAATGTTTAAGCCAGCTAGTTAAGCTGAGGGCTCGTGGCCAAGCATCCACGCTGTTAGGCACGCTGTCTTGTTACGTTCGGTTGTTAATGCATGGTCTATAGCTAGCTAAACAGTCATCTTGCCACTACGATTTTGGTCCCGAAATATACTTCGTATTTTGGACGATTAATTTGGTGTTTTGCTTTGTATCTGATCTATGAAGGACGAATACTATAGGGGTTGTGAGTATAAGATCTTTCGTAAGTTTTCATCGTACTATCCATGAACGTCAACACCCTCAACCTCTTAAGTATAATTAGTGGCTTTGGCACTTCAGAGCATATCTTCCGCTGAAGCAGTTGAACGATTGTATGTCATATCCCTTTTTTGAAGTGGCGCCATTATTATCTCATGGGTATCAGGGGGTCTCAATAAACAGACCAAAATATAACAGCATGATTTCATGAAAACTCAATAATATGCATTTAACCTTTGAATTTACTGCCTCTTTTAATCCATTTCACTGCACAGATATCAGTACCAAGCCAGATTTTCCGATAAAAATATATTTCAACAGGATAATGCTACAGATAATATAAACTCCAGAAGATAATTTTTGATGCAAAATTTCACTTAAAAAATATATAAAGAATATACCTTGTCATTAAACTATCATAGCAACAGAATAAATCTTTACATTTAGCGGGGATATCCATAAAGCCACTCGAAAGAGTCTGCACTATACCTATGCTCTTAATCTGACTGCGCGCGCTCCTTGAATACGACGTGCTTTTTCCCCTCTAACTGGAAAATACCCACTTTGTGAATTATCCGCTTGGGAAACCTCATCTTCCTAGCCAGTGAATTAAATTCAACCATTACTTACATACTCAATCTCTGTGTGGTAAGTCCAGCTGTCTCGAACTACTGCCAAAGCTTCTGGTGCTATTTTTGTAGCACCATCTTCCTCACTCGTTCAGATAAACAAGACTTGTTGGTCTACACAACAAAGGCTGGCCAGAACCCGACGAAGCCTAAAGTTGCTGATGCTGCAAAGGAATACGAGAAGCCAAAGGCCAAACCTAAGTCTGAGGTTAATCGGTCTAATTCCCTCATCCTCTTTAACGTACCTGTGAGCAAGGACAGCTTGCTTGAACAGCGGGCCCTGTTTGATCAGGAACAGTGGTCCAACCTGTGCAATAAACTAGGTCTGAATATTAGTTCAGTGAAATTGTGCACGCTGTACAGGGGTGTCCACACACCTCAAGATAAGCCACCCCCATTACGGGTTACACTGGACTCTGCCGAAGAGGCCGAAAAGGTACTATTGATGGCTCAGGTACTAGCCATCGACAGAAGCTCGAACATGAGGGTGAGGCATGACAGACCATGGGCTATCAGACAAATGGCGAGGGAGTCACCGGAACTGATGCCTTCTACCTCTATGGTGGTACACGGTGTTCCAGAGCTGGAAACAGGCACTGCCTGTGAAAAACACATGCATGACGTACAGCAGTGGAGATGGCTGTCGTCTCAGATG